GGCCATAAAGAAATCCGGCAGTATAACATAGTGTGGTTCCTATAACTTTCTTCCTGTTTCTATTTATCTCTATGTCTCTCTGGGAATCTTAATAAGAGCTGGTGAAGATACTAGAACTGAATCTCCAGACAATCATTCGGTAATGGTTTTTGGATGTCTGCATTCTTGTAATAGTTTTCCCCCTGCGCCGCTACTGAATCAACAGCACCAAGGATTTTGTTTTATCTATAATTGTTGGGAGTTTACAGTCTGAATTGAATGTGAAGACAATAGATAAACAACTTCAACGGCAGCCAGGGCACAGTGTAGGGATTTCTTTTTCATGATCAAATGACTTTGAATGAATGACTTCAAGGCGCGCATTTTATGTGTGAATTATGAACTTGTTTTGTGTTAGTGTGTTTTTTTTTCCGACATGGCAGTCAAGGTCATAATTTCTGGATCACGTCACAGTTCTGGATTGCCAAGCCCTGCATAAACATAATAGATGAAAGATATGCATGCAGAGTTTTTTTGTTGTTGTAGCAAAAAGGTATTTTAACTGTTCTTTTGTGTTGTTTAGAAAAGACAAATCCCTCAAAACGAGTTCTTCCTTGGAAATAGTCAAAAGTGCATTCAGATTGGTTAAACTCCTTGAATTATCTCTGTTTCATTCCACTCCTCTCATCTTCCCAGTGTTTCTCTCATTCCGTTCACATTATCGATCCTCTCCTCTTTGAAAACATATTTTCCTTCTCTGCGTGCGTCTAATGGTTGCAGCACGTATGGTTCAGACTCCGCATCTAAAAGAATCAGGGATCAGGAACGGAGGAGACTCAAATACAGCTCCAGTATTGGCAAAACCTCTCCATTTCCTCCATGCTCAGGCGGCTGAGGTTAACCCGCCATGTCCTTCCATTGATTCTCTTCTTTTGTCCTTGTCTTTCTGTCTGTACAATCCTTTAAAGCTCCTTGGAGCAGGAGTTTTAATGCTCTCCTTGGCATGAATTATTTATAAAAAAAAAAAAAAAAAGTGTTTGCCTACACTTGTATACTCTACACAAAAACGGAATCTAGTTTATTAACTTTAAAAACTAGTTTAAGTAGAACATTATCAGGTGTATTGAACATTTTAAAAAAAAATATATATATATATATATATATATATAAGTTTATTTACATAGATACATACACTCACCGGCCACTTTATTAGGTACCCCATGCTAGTAACGGGTTGGACCCCCTTTTGCCTTCAGAACTGCCTCAATTCTTCGTGGCATAGATTCAACAAGGTGCTGGAAGCATTCCTCAGGGAGTTTGGTCCATATTGACATGATGGCATCACACAGTTGCCGCAGATTTGTCGGCTGCACATCCATGATGCGAATCTCCCGTTCCACCACATCCCAAAGATGCTCCATTGGGTTGAGATCTGGTGACTGTGGAGGCCATTTTAGTACAGTGAACTCATTGTCATGTTCAAGAAACCAATTTGAAATGATTAGAGCTTTGTGACATGGTGGAAGTAGCCATCAGAGGATGGGTACATGGTGGCCATAAAGGGATGGACATGGTCAGAAACAATGCTCAGGTAGGCCGTGGCATTTAAACGATGCCCAATTGGCACTAAGGGGCCTAAAGTGTGCCAGGAAAACATCCCCCACACCATTACACCACCACCACCAGCCTGAACAGTGGTAACAAGGCATGATGGTTCCATGTTCTCATTCTGTTTACGCCAAATTCTGACTCTAACATCTGAATGTCTCAACAGAAATCGAGACTCATCAGACCAGGCAACATTTTTCCAGTCTTCAACTGTCCAATTTTGGTGAGCTCTTGCAAATTGTAGCCTCTTTTTCCTATTTGTAGTGGAGATGAGTGGTACCCGGTGGAGTCTTCTGCTGTTGTAGCCCATCCGCCTCAAGGTTGTGCGTGTTGTGGGTTCACAAATGCTTTGCTGCATACCTCGGTTGTAACGAGTGGTTATTTCAGTCACTGTTGCCCTTCTATCAGCTCGCACCAGTCTGGCCATTCTCCTCTGACCTCTGGCATCAACAAGGCATTTCCGCCCACAGAACTGCCGCTCACTGGATGTTTTTTCTTTTTCGGACCATTCTCTGTAAACCCTAGAGATGGTTGTGCGTGAAAATCCCAGTAGATTAGCAGTTTCTGAAATACTCAGACCAGCCCTTCTGGCACCAACAATCATGCCACGTTCAAAGTCACTCAAATCAACTTTCTTCCCCATACTGATGCTCGGTTTGAACTGCAGGAGATTGTCTTGACCATGTCTACATGCCTAAATGCACTGAGTTGCAGCCATGTGATTGGCTGCTTAGAAATTAAGTGTTAACGAGCAGTTGGACAGGTGTACCTAATAAAGTGGCCGGTGAGTGTATATATATATAATTAAAATATTAAAACAAATTCATAAATGATATTATGTGTGTGTATATATAATGTATATATAGGCTACAATAATATACAATATCAATGTATATTATTGTATTATATATAACATTTGTTTTATATAGAAATTTATATTATTTTATAAATGTAAATATTATAACATTTAATTATGATTTAATTAATTATAGAAACTTAATAAAAAAATATATTAAGATGAATCAATTAAAACAATTATCATGTCAAATAACATAATTATGTTATATGATCTAATTAATAATAGAAATTTTAAAATAATTATATAACAGATTAAGACAATTATAATGTAATATAAATTATACTATAAACATAATTATAATATTAAAGTATATATAATGTATTTTTTGTTTTGTTTTGAGCAGTAATGGAAGACATGCGTGTGTTTTGTAGCTGGGATATAAAAAAGGTAAAGTTATTTCACTCTCAGTATATTCACAATAAACTTTTCTCATGCCTCGTCCATCACCTTGAATGGATGTTTTATTTTAACTCGCCACAGTGCATTTTGGGATTGCTTTCTCCTGATGCTACAAAATTAGTTGTTTCAGAAGGCAGCAAACACACCTTTGTTGGAAACACAAGATGCCGTATGTTGCCTATGTAGGCGGCTCCTAGGCTATAGCACAGAGCCCTTGTGCATTTGTCAGGTAAAACAGCACTGACACATTGATCTGCCACTTTACAGCCACAATGATGGGCAATTCATTACTGCGCTGCGTTTGGATATTAAACATCAGAGAATCAGTGAATCTCTGGCTGTTTACTCGGTTAATACTGTCTGATTTACTTCATTACCCGCTGACTTGTACCTTCAGTGTGAAAGAGTGTCTGTCTGCCTGGGTAATTGTTTAACCTCATGAATAAGTTAAGCCTTGCTATTGATGATGTTGAAAATGTCGTGCTGCAGGCAGACTGTTTCGAGAGCTCTGCTACATATCGGTATTTTGTAGTATATTTGAGTCTTTAATGAGCAGCATTCTCCATTTGTGTAATATATTAGCGTGCGGTCAATAACAGCATCAGTCCTGTAATGAATTGTGCTGTTATGGTGGGGTAGGGGGAATACAATTGATCATCTTGTTTTATACGCCCTGTAAGGTGTTATTGATTAACCGTAGCTTCTGTAGTTTTCATTCTTCTCACATTGAGTGTGTGTGTTAAGCTCATCAGATCATAATTGGCCTCTTTCAGATGCATCTTTAATTGGTTACAGTTATAGGGGAGAGTTGTGTTGCTGTGCAAATACTGATTTTACTTGCTATAGCTTCATTTACTCACCCTCATGTTGTCTTTTACACAAATGTTTCAAGTCCTAGCTCTTCTAGAGAGGGTTCATGATAAAAGTAATGATATCTGATTAGCAAATGAATCTAATCTTTCGGGTGAATCATTTGATCCAGTTCACCTGAATGATTCGTTCACTGAATCAGACGGTTCTCAATTTCAATCCATTGACCCCATGATCTGATTGCTGCAGGAGAGGAAGATTTGCAGCGAATAACAACTTACTTTGAGTCTGTTCATCACACAGATCTATTGGATCACTTGAAATCTCACACAAGAGTCATGTGGGTCCCTTTTATGACCATTTTATGGGACTTTGGCATCACTTTTGAAGCTTAACAACAGCATTCACGTTCACGGTTTTAACTAAGAAAATAAAATGAGAGTATTTTTCTTTTTACATCATTTTCTAAGCCCTTTCATGTACATTGGAACAAACAATTGGTGCAGGATTTACTTTACCATTTCCACACAGAATTTGATATGGCCAGCAGCCATATCACCCTGTAGCCCAAGACTGGTTGCCCACTGAAGCTAAGCAGGGCTGAGCCTGGTTAGTACCTGGATGGGAGACCTTCTGAGAAAACCAGGTTGCTGCTGGAAGAGGTGTTAGTGAGGCCAGCAGGGGGCGCTCACCCTGTGGTCTGTGTGGGTCCTAACGCCCCAGTGTAGTGACGGGGACACTATACTGTCAAAGAGCACCGTCCTTCGGATGAGACGTTAAACCAAGGCCCTGACTCTTTGTGGTCACAAAAAATCCCAGGATGTCCTTCTAAAAAGAGTAGGGGTGTAACCCCGGCATCCTGGCCAAATTTGCCAAGTGGCCTCTGTCCATCATGGCCTCCTAATCATCCCCATACACTGATTTGCTTCATCACTCTGTCTCCTCTCCACCAGTAAGCTGGTGTGTGGTGGGCGTTCTGGCGCAATATGGCTGCCGTCGCATCATCCAAGTGGATGCTGGACATTAGTGGTGGTTGAGGAGATTCCCCCTTCTATGTAAAGCGCTTTGAGTGTTGAGAAAAGCGCTATATAAATGTAATGAATTATTATTATTATTGATAGTAAATGTCACAAATAATGGCAAGTAACGCACTGAATTAAATGTGGAATTTTAAAGTAGAAAGACTGAAATGGGAGTCAAACGTACTGCAGTAATCTTCAAAAAAATTACCACTTTTCACAATCCAATCAATTACAAGTGAATAAAATAAAGTTCTTCCAATAAAAGCAGATGGTGATTTATACTGCAAAACCGCCCATAAAAAAGCATAAACTATCATAGAACTATGATTTCTGCTTCTGAAGTCATAGTTTGTGTCATTGTGAAACCAACCAACCCACCATCCAAACCCACCAACCAACCCACCAACTCAGCAACCAACCCACCAACCAACCCATCAACCCACCAACTCACCAACCCACCAATTCACCAACCCACCCTCCAAACCCACCCTCCAAACCCACCCACCAACCCACCAACCAACTCACCAACCCACCAATTCACCAACCCACCAACTCACCAACACACCAATTCACCAACCCACCCTCCAAACCCACCCACCAATCCACCAACCAACCAACCAACCAACCCACCAATTCACCAACCCACCCACCAACTCACCAACCAACCCATCAACCAACCCACCCACCAACCCATCAACCAAACCCACCAACCAACCCACCAACTCACCAACCAACCCATCAACCAACCAACCAACCCACCAACCCACCAACTCACCAACCAACCCACCAACTCAGCAACCAACCCGCCAACCAACTCACCAACTCACCAACCCACCAATTCACCAACCCACCAACCCACCAATTCACCAACCCACCCTCCAAACCCACCCACCCACCAACCAACCAACCCACCAATTCACCAACCCACCCACCAACTCACCAACCAACCCATCAACCAACCCACCACCCAACCCACCAACTCACCAACCAACCCATCAACCAACCCACCCACCAACTCACCAACCAACCCATCAACCAACCCACCACCCAACCCACCAACTCACCAACCAACCCATCAACCAACCCACCCACCAACTCACCAACCAACCCATCAACCAACCCACCCACCAACTCACCAACCAACCCATCAACCAACCCACCCACCAACCCATCAACCAACCCACCAACCAACCCACCAACTCACCAACCCACCAATTCACCAACCAACCCACCAACTCACCAACCCACCAATTCACCAACCAACCCACCAATTCACCAACCCGCCAACCAATCAATCAGTCAGTCAGTCAGTCAATCAACCGGTGTAAATATGTTATGATGCCTGACTACAAGTGCATTTGACTCCATTCAGTGTTGAAGACAAATTAAACAGACTTATTTGAATTTGTTGTTGATTTTGAATGGTCCAAATGAGCAGTTAGCATATAACTGTAGACAATATCCGCTGATATAGTGGGCAAACAGGTGAGAAGTGAAAGCTAGCATCCTCTCCTCTCACAGACCCACATCTGAAGAGAAGGCTGATCTTCAGCGGCTGAGCTCGTGAGGTGATGTTCGAACTCTCTGGAGCACCAAAACTACTTCTGTCAAACTAAATGTTTTTTTATTTCTATAAAGCTGCTAGAACATGATGGGATTCTCCATGTGAGCTGGTAATGGGCAGCGGAAGTGAGAGAAATGAAATCGGTCCTGGCTAGTGCAACTTGAAGTCTAAGAAAGAGAACTGTATCTTTATGTCTAAGTTGTAGAGATGTGCTAATTTTTCATAATCGACTATTATATTGGTTGTTTGAATGACTGGATGAGTAAGCAATCTAGAGGAAGCCTTACAAAATAACGCTGGATTAGGTTCATGTCCACCACACACAGATCAGGCTCTGAAGATCCGAATCTGAAAGCTTATATCGCACAAAATTATCATGTCATATAAAACAGAGCCAATAACAAATATAAAAATAAATGAAATGGAACAAAATTAAAACAATATAAATATAATGATTTAATAAAATGTAAATAAAATAAATTACAAATAAATTAAAATTACATTTAAATGGAATTAAATAAAATTATAAAAAATAAATTAATATATTAAATTAATACATTTAAATAAATGGCATCAAATTAAGACTAAAATAAATAAATAAATAAAGAGGGGGGATTTTAGATAAACTCATCCTCACTAATCCCTTGGTTGGTTCTTTGCTGCTGACATTTTCTCCTCTCTTCTCAAAATAACAGCAGCTAAAGCAACCGAGGACAACAATGCAAGGAGAGAAAGAGAGACACCAAATCCATGAGAGAAAAACTCTTCCGGGAGGGAAGGTGTTTTTGTAGTAATGGAAGAGCCATCCAGCTTCTTTTTCAATCAGAGTCGAGTACACTGTTGTCCACGCTCCTTTCCTCTCCGAGCACTCCTCAATTCCCCGTGGTCTGAGGGAAAATCCAATTACTTTTCAAACAACCCCAGAGGCACCAAATGGTACTCTGTCTCTGCCAATTACCTGGCGCTCCTCAGCGACACACACCGAGTGTTCGCGCCATTCAACAGGTCCGCTGGCAAAACCCCCTTATTTAAAGATGATTTGATATGATTGTACTGGGAGGTGAGGGAACGTTTTGTCCACGACTGCAAGAGTTCAACACATATTTGAGAAAAGAAAAACAAAAAAAGTTTCTCTCCCCTAAAATACAAAGTTTATCTCACCTGCTGTTGTTTGTGAATTTAAGTCAACATGAAACTCTGACATTTCAGAGTGAAACAGTATAGTGCAAAAACAAAAGTAATAATTCGTTACATATATAGATAGAAGTCCCCCTATAGTGAAAATCAAGCTTTTGATTTAGTTTATATGTCTATGTGGTGTTTTTAATGTGCTTTAAGACAGTATTTTCTGCTTAAAACTGCAGTGAACCAAAGACAGTCTCAAAAACACGTTTGAAATCGCTGGTGTTTCTGACGTCACACACTACCTTGTAACCAATCAGATCAACGTGTGATCGTCAACAAGTGGATTTCTGAGCTGAGTGAGTGAGTGGAGGCGGGGTCATTTGCATATTCATAGAACCGCGTATACTAAATGAGGCAAGGGTGTTAAGTTACATTCAATAATTGTTTTTCAAGGAAAAAACGTTTAAATATGTCATTTTTGTGATCAAAGGTCAGTTTTCAGGGACAAAATGATTGAGTACAGGGTTGCATGAAAAAACACTCTTTTTGTTCTCTTTTCTCTGAAGCACAGCAACTCTATACAAAACAACATCATATTCTGTGCGCAAACACCCCGTGGCTCATGTTTCTTCCCCCTCACTGCTTTCTCTTTTGATCTTGAACCAGCGGCGGATCATTCTGCACTGTCATGTTTGCTCTTGTCCTCTAGAGCGCCCTCTGGTGGTTATTTGTACATGGCTGTGTGTTTTTCCCAGGGAAATGCAGAGGTCTGTGGAAGGAGGCTGAGAAACAGTTTATCTCCTATTACTGCAGCGATCACAGCAGTTCACGAGTCTCTGACATCCCTCTGAATGAAGAATTTACTATGGGGTATGGAAGGGGGGGGGGGGGGGGGGGGGGGGGGGGGGGCTATGATATTAGACTACATAGCCTATATTATAATAAAAGATAATGAATTTAAAACCTGAAACAAACATAATTTTATTCAAAGATCAACAGTCTGTCATTAGTCTTTAGTCTGCCACAAAAAACAACATTAAAATCATGAACTCACATGTCATTGTGAAAAAAAACAAAAAAAACAATGACTTTTGTAACAGTGCCTAAAATAAGACCTTTCAGGGTATAGCCATTCATATTTTGAATGAAAATTAGCTTATCAATGCATATCTAAAATCGTGCCAGCGGTATCTTTGTAGAACTTCAAAAAAATAAAGAAGAAAGATGCTGCAGACAATAACTACTCAAGATTTTGCTTTAGTATAATTTTCAGGCAGTTAGGGCCGGATTCGGGATTCGTCTTTTTCCCCCCGAATTTTTCGACGTCTGGCAACCCTACTTTTTGAGGGTGAGCAAAAACGCACCGTTTTTGTGTCTGTCCCTTTAAATGCAAATGAGCTGCTGCTCCCGCCACAGGGGGCGGAGCTTCAACAGCTCGTGTCCTTTCACCTCACGCCGACATGCACTGAAAATTTCAAAAACTTTTAGCCTTTTATGTTCAAACCGGAGTCAGACAATGATGGAGAGACTCAAGAAGAAGTGACAATATAGACAACATTTCTGAATGGTTAGTTGATGAATTTATGCAGCTTATGTGTCATTATCTTCTAGTCATTGATTAGCATATTCTGTCATGATAATCTATAAATCGTGTTCCTGGTGGTGGGGTTAATGTAAATTTTAGGGTTTGTGATGTCACCCGGGAGGAAGCTTGTGTAGTTCCTACCCGTTTGTTGTGGTCCTTAAAAGGCAATTTCTTTAAAAGAAAATATCTCCCTTTGCTTTAAACTTTGAGCGTTGTAATTTTGCAGATGTTGTTTATGCTCAAACAGCAACATTACACACTAACTAAAGTTAGAAAAGTGAAATCGTAATCAACCACCCCTTTAACATAGCAGGGCTGTATGTGCTTTTTGCGTGATCATGGCCATCGAAGAACCAAATAACTGGTGTCAATCTGAAAATTCCCTCACGCATGGAAAGTTCCCGCTTCAAATAATGAAGCCCAGCGGCGGATTGGCAGGCGAGTGTGTTTTTATTGACCGTAGAGTAGTTGACTGTGCTGTTGGGAAGGTCGGCGCTAACACACCAGAGATGTATATTACCTGCAATGTTTTGTTTCCTTCCTTCTGACCTCTGACCCCATAAATCTGTGTGAGCTGGGATACCTGGTCACACTGGCTAAGTGATTGATTGTTGGGTTGAAAGCCCTTCCTTTAGACAGCCTTTCTGAGCTGTTTGTTATTCAGCTTGTCTCTCTGAAGGGGAGCCGGCAGTCTCGGGTCAGTGCAGAGAAGACGCAGCGTGCCACACACACACACACACAATTTAATTTGACAGTTTACATGTTGCTCTTCAATTATGGTTGTTTTTGAAACTGTGCACTTCTAGAAAATAGAATCTTAAAACCCTTTTCAGTCTTAAAACACAGTTCTCACTAGTTTAGTTTGTCCACTAACAATACATTCATCACATAATATTTCTGTTTTCTTTCTAAATACACTCATAATTAAATATTTTTCACACTTTTAGCATAATTTGAAACCATAACAGCTTGATTTGTAAATTATGCATGATAGAAATCTTCTGTTTTCAAGTTCAGATTTTTATTTTCTTTGTTTTCTCCACACATCGGGCTTCATATTTCATCTCAAGCTTTTTACTGGCACTGTTGAATCCTTGATAAGGAAAGTACACTGAGTTTACACTAAAATATTATTGCACTCTGTTTAGATGATCATAGTTTTAAACAATAGTAATAATTTATATTTTTATGATGGATATATTTTTTATATAAAATAACAAATAATTATAATAAATGATTTATTAATGTTTATAAATTAAGGCTGTCATATCGATTAATCGCGTACATACATATGCATGCATATATAACACACACACACACAGACAGACACACATATATACACTATATATACACACACAGACACACATATATAAACAAACTTTTATGTTAGATGCGATTAATCGATTTGACAGCACTAATATAAATAAATGTATTACAACATATAAATATTGAGTTTATTATACATTTTTATTTGAATTAATATTTATTTATTGAAAATCTGGGCCTCAAACAAGGGCCGTAAAATCTAAAATATGATTATTATTGTAAGTTTTATAAATAATAATAACGACTATTATTATTATTATTCCTTTTTATAATGGGTACATTTTTATATATGGAATAATAGATATTTTATTATTTAATTTATGATTGAAAATCTGGGTATCGAACCGTATAATCTAAAATTATAAAATAATAACTAATAATGATTAATATTTTTATGATGGATGTGTTAACTTATAAAGTAATAAATATTTGTATTATTGTATTTTAAATGGGTCTCTAAAAAGGGCAGTAAAATCTCAAATATACTGAAATATAAATATGAATGATGAAAGCATGGTGAAAAGCTTCAAACACCATTTTAATGTGACCTTCATATAACAAAAAGAAATAACAATCAACCCCTGGGACATAAAAGTGCCCAGAATTGCAGACATTTCCAACAATGTATTTATGAATGAATTAGCATAAATTGTTTCTGCTCTTGTTTCGTGAATGAGGCTCAAATATTCAGTCCGATGACCGGTTTTGTGGATCAGCTAAAAATCGAA